AATTTGCACAATATGAAAAGTTTAGATGAAATTATAGAAAATGCAAATAAAAATATTAAAAAGGTGTTTCTAGCAGGGTTGCATCTGAATTTTGATAAGTAGCCTATATAATTAGTCTTAAATTAACATTGGATAGATTGGCACAGGAGCTAAAGTTTGCGCAAAAAGATGATAGTTCTTCTAAGTCAGCTAGTCTGAAGTGGTGAACATTGTAAACAGTCACTACCATGGCTAGACTAGTAATATGATGCATATATGCAAATCGCAATATTTTACATAATTATTTTTCACATATACTGAAAAGAAGCTATATATACTAACCAGTACTTTAATTTTTTATTAAGTATAATTGATCTATTAGCAAAATATCAGATGATGAGACAAATGAAGGCTACAATAAATTTATCAAAGAATATAGATCAAGATATGAATGGGATAATGAAGAGAATCCTGAATTTATACCAGAGTGGTAAGATTAAGAAGATCTATTTTACGAAATCAAAATTTATTGGAAGACAAAGGCAGTCAGGCATTAGAGGGAGAAAACACTTAAACAATTTGTATATAGTCTGCTCAGTGTAAGAAATCCAATATCATTATTCCATGTATTTTTATAATTTGATACTATTTATCTTCTACAAATATTAAGTCTAATAGAATTGCCATATTATTCGCATGAACTTTGAAAGGAAATATGGCTGGATGGTATTGATAAATAAATGAGATTAAGGTAGATGACAATGCAGATGAGGTAGATAACTTCCGGTATAGGTTATTGCTTCAAGGTGAAGACTCAATAGTGAATTATTATTCGAAGATAAAGAGATGTAACAATGTTATCAAGCTCTATAAAAATCATCTTAGAGAAATATTTCATAAAGGATTATCACTAGAAAGTCAAAGGTATATCGCAAGATTTAGATATTATTATGATCACGATCTTGATCCTGATAAAATGGTAGAAATGCTTATTCAAGTTGAAAAGGAAAATGTGCCTGATTTTATTACTGCATTTAGTGATTATCTTAGTCAAGCTAACGATGTTCAGATTTTGACCCAATCTGGGTTTTCTAATAATAATTTTATTTCTGCTTTTCTTAATCTGGAATTAACGAGACCCTCTATGACGAGGTGGTACTCTACCCATCTAACTAGTCCAGAAAAGTGATCATCAGCTCGAAAGAATTGCTGAGCCACAAATTATACAACAAAAAAGTAGATTATCGCTCAGAAAAATAAAACATTTTTACTCCCCTTTAGACTGCGCCTTCGGCAGAAAATGGTCCAGGTGTGTTAATACTCAGAAAAGAAATCATCAGAAGTTTTAAAGATATGCTCTTGCATTTTTATTGGCTTCTTCTAATCCACTTATTTTCTGATCATAATGATCGACAATACCAAGATGATCTTGAATCATGCTTATATCTTCTTCTAAATATAAAAGCAAATGATATAATGTCCTAAGTGACATTTTCCCAAATGTTACTTCATCAAAATCTTGCATATTTTTATATAATGTAGTAAGAATGGGATGACCGCTATATTAAGATCTCCTCGTATATCTATTAATTCTCTCACCAAATCAAATAACAGCCTAAACGAATCTTCAAGTATTTTTCCTTTCTTGCTTTGATTTAATGCTATTTGATATATATTCTCAATAGGTTCCTTCCTCTGGTCTGAGACTATACCGAGCTTTTTCTGAATAGCTATTATATCTTTCTTTTTATATAGAAGCATTTCATATAATTGAGCTTCGCTTTTATCAGAATTAATATTAGTATTGCTTGTCATGATTGTGTTTACCTCTGGTTAGCATACATTTAATTTAGAGTCCAGAATAATGCTCATCAGCCTGGGTAGTGATCGCCAGTTCAAAAGAATTTGCTGAACTATACATGTACTCATGTATGACAAAAATAGGCTAATCATATAATAGGTCTGTATGATACATTAATTTTGCATATACATTCGAAAAAGAAAATATATTAACCTTTGTTCTTTATTTTTTTCCAAACAAATGTGAAAAAATGTGAAGAAGGTCTAGTTTTAACATAGAACCTACTATAAAAGTGAATACTGATGGCAAAAGCATATGCTATAAAAGGCTGAAGACTTTGTAATTTTGAGATCTATAAGGACTAGCTAACTTTGAGTCTTTTGGATAGATCTATATGTGAAAAGATATGAAGATTCCTATTGCATATGCTTTTGTAAAGCTCTTGGTATCAGATAACAATACTAATTACGCCTTATACCTCTTTATCTTCTCTCAGCAAGATATAAAGCATATAAAGGTATGTGGAAGTTCAGCTAACTTTCCGCAAAATCATTCCTGTAAAAATACGCAAAAAATAAGTATGTATATGCCAGAAGTTATATATGTACGAGAGCTCGTTTTTCTCACTATAAGCTTGTATTTAGGAAAGCAAGATGACTAATATTACTCTCAATTGTCTTATCATTCCAGTGGAAGATTTTAATAATATTTAATGTAATGCGATACACCAAATGATTACAATTAGAATAAGTCAACCGGTCAGTGTTCTTATAAATGCAATTAGAGGCAGATTGAAGCTAAATATCGAATTAAGCATTTATCAAATTCATCCTAGAAGTATTTAAAAAAAGAAAATGAAATCATAGGATCTGATTTCTAAATTTTTTGGTCAACAATCTCAGACAGAATTTTTTCATGTCACTGTATATTTCCGTTAATAATTTAAAGTATCATGTAGCAATATAGTCACAATTTTTATATGTTGTAGGCCAGCTTGATCCCTCTGAGACCCTTCTGGCAACATTTTTTATTTCATAAATAAAGTATTTTATTGTACTGTACATTAGAAATAGGTTATGGTAATGGTGTGGTCCATGGACTATAAATTATCTGAACTAATCTAGCCTATATAAAAAACGTCAGGTGATAAGTGAGAAGAGTCTCCTATTCACTAAAGTGAACAAAGAACGCAGTGATTAAGCGACTATTATACTTATGATGTAATGTGGCTGATCATACAGCTGGCTTGTAAAATAGAATAATTTCTCACATATAGCCTGCCTCAATATTTTTTCACAAATAAAATTCTTTTTTTACTCTTATCTTCATATATCACATTTTGAACCAATAACATTTCACAAAAAATACTATAAAAGCTATTATGTCTATCACGTTATTCTGTCTTGTCAAAGGAAATACATCTAAGAAGGCTTTCTCTGTTAAAATAAGTAGAGACAAACCTATTAGTGAGCTCAAGAAAGCTATTAAGGCAGAAAAATAAAATGACTTTGCTAGTATTGATGCAGATAAGCTCAAGCTTTGAAAAGTGCTAATCTTTGACGATCATATCGATTCCTTAAACAATCTTTTATTCGAGAACAGCGATGAGCTGTTAGCAATAAATGAAATTAGAGACTACTGGACTGAGAAACCGCCTAAAAGGCATATTCATGTTATAGTCGAACTGCCAGAAACCACCTCCACTTCGAGTCAAGAGGTAAAGGAATTAAGGGAATAACTTGCTTTATTGTAGGCATTACTTAACAAGTCCACACATGGTATGTATTTTTTCCTGTCCTGAGGTAAGCGAAATCTTCAGTTCATGAGAAGTTTTACTAACTAAGTTATTGCATTTCAGTGTTCAACATTGTTATTAGTCCTAAACGAATGAAGGGTTTTACGTGGATCATAAATATCGAAAAAGTGACTCTCAATAGCCTTAAAGAGCATATGGACCTTTGCAATAGAAAGGAGGGAAACTGCCGGAAAAAATCAATTTTACTTTTATATGCCAAATATGATTTTTAAGTCAAAATATGTTCAGATTTAGCATTAACTCAATTTTTATTTTTTCCAGCCGTTTCCCCCTTTTCTATTGCAAAGGTCCCATATATGTAAAATGGAGAAATAATCAGCACTTGTAAATGATGAGGCAGTGCTAAAAATAGTAAATAACAGCGGAAAATACATCCTTCTAAATGATAAAGAACTTCATGAGATGCTTCAGCTGTTCATATCAGATAAAAATCTTAAGTTTACTGTGTTCATTGAGATTCCCTCAAAACCATTCAACAAGTAGACCTTCCTGAAAGTATGTAAACTCTACAGTCTCAGCGATGATCTGAATCCTAATACTGACATATATCAACTTTTTTCATGTGATTCTGCTAACCTAAGTAATGAAGAGTTCAAAGCTGTGATTAAGCATCTAATGGCCAAACTGAACCTTTGTAAGAAGACTATCCCTAAAGATGGTTACCATAATTAAAAAAAAATGACGCAATTGAGTTGCAACTTGTGGTACAATTAAATTTTCTTATAGCGCAATTAAGTTGCAACTCAATTGAAATTTGAAAATAATTATGGTGACCATCTTTAACTATCCCTCTTGATGTTACATATGAGGTAACCAAAACTATCTATTCTTATTATTACCTAGTCAGCGGAGTATCGTTCTATGAAAAAAATTTCAAATTTATATTGGAAAAGTTTGTCACAGAATGCAATGAACAAGGTAACCTTGATTATGTAATAAAATGTCACTTAACTAATAGGATTGTGGGTTTGGTCAAGGTAAAAAAGGATGACTTTAAGCAAGGTTTCGTATAAGCTACTGTACAGATAGAATCTTTATTATTCTGCAAACGTAAAGCAGGAAAAATAGATGACGAATATGGTTGAATAAAGTATGAGTTTCATAGAATGCATACTAAATAATGAGGGAAAGCTATCATTTAAGTTATCAAAACCAGTGATTATTGTGTACGATGATGCTAATATGGAAACCAAGGTAAAAAAAAGTGCTTTCTCATATTGTATGGTTGTTGAATGAAACACAGAAGCCAGACTCAAATGATTTTCAAAGTGAAGAAAGGGTAATAAAAAAACATAAGTCATTGAGCAACCTTACTGGAAAGTCAGATATATAGGTTTTAAAATAGAAACTTTATGTATAATAGGCATAATCCCAAACATTTGTTCGTATATAATAATAAAAAATTTTTACACATAATATTGAATATTTCCTATCATATAAAAACAATATTAATAATCATATCATCTGAGCTTGAATTATTAAAACAGCGTATTATTGAACTTAAAGCTAAGAACACTAAGCTTGAGGCTGAGAATTCTGGTCTTAGAATCAAGCTCTCAGTATCTGATGCTGAAATAGTTAAACTTAAGCGCATGCATACTGAGGTTCTAAGAGCGAATGGAAAATATAATGAGATGTGTGATGCTAAAAATGCCAAATTCAAGGTCATAATCGAGAAGTTAAAATCTGAGAATATTGAGTTTAGAGATAGACACACAAAAGTGAAACAGAATCAGTTGCAAGATGACTCAAAGGAAAATAATATTAAAGAGAATGCTAAGCTTAAAGATTGTGTTACAAAAGTGGAACAGAGGTAGATATTAAATGATAATACTCCTAATGATTATACCTCTAATGATAATACAGTCCAGGGGATTTCCAAAAAAAGATTTTGTGTAACTGAACATTGATCGAAGAAATCGATTGTTTAAAAATTTTTTGATTGGTTCTTCAAAGCTATAGATTCGTAGATGAAGGTTTCTAAAAAAACTATATGTTAGCTTATCAGTAATTGTTGGAATAAATGCGTTCAAGTGTGCTTTTTCATAATCCATTGACCTTTATTCATAATCCACAAAATTGACTGAAGTATACTTTACCTCAAATTTGGATTTTATGAGCTTTTTTTTATCCAATTGTCTAAGAACTATAACTGACTCTTGCTTATTTTTTGACCCTTAGTGAATGCAAAAAAAAACCACAGGCTAATACCTTACCATGCTTGTT